ATTATTGTTCTAAAATAAAAATAAGCATAGTGATAATGTTAATAATCTTGTTTTGCATAAAATTGTACAATAATAAACATACACTTTAATAAAACCAACCCACCGAATTAATAAATACAGTAATTTAACCGCAATTATATCAATATCACTGAAAATAAAATAAAGACTAATGTGTTAATAATCTGAATATAAATAAAGTTAGTGTTTATTGTTAATATTCGCTCTTAAAATTTGTGATTCTTGTAAGGATAATAAATTTATGTAGTTCTTTTGGTATCGCATGTTTTTTTTTTTAAATTATGATTGAATCGAACTTTTTATACATGAATTGACCTTTTATAGCTGCATGTTACTTTTTTTCTTCAGCACTTATTATTTATATGGATATAGCTTCATAACTCATAAGATTTTTGATCGAACATTGAATACCTTCATTAGCAAAGGAAAAAATAAGAGAAGTTTGATGGCTAGAAGTCGCATTTAAATATACTAAAACAGCCAAACTTTCAGTGTAGCTCAACGTTCAAATAGTGGGTGGTTAATTCTTCGTATCAGTACGACATCTATACTATAAATTTTAATGTCTGTTCGTTCACTTGAACAATTCTGATTGGTTGATTCTAGGTATACATGACCTACACATGACCTATTTATGATCGGTAATAATAAATTTTCATATGTACATTAAATTCTTGTTTAAAAAATGCTATTAGAAAACAATGTATATAAGTTGTTAGGGAAATATAAAATTACCCTACAATTCGGGAAAAAGATCGATTTCACATAGTTATAATATTTAACACTAATAAATAATTAATAGATTATAATGATTATAGTGTACAAATCTATATCGTTATCTAAGAATTTTATTTACAATGCATATAGATAATGCAAATTCGCATGCATAAACCTAAACACGTGAACCACTTACATTCTTATATAGTTTATAATACAACGCATATAATCATAATACATATAGAATAATATAATTTGCATCTATAGTTTTGTTTTGATGCATGTTAAAACTCAGATAGTATTAATTTTTTCATTTTTTTTTTAAACTGTAGAAATAAAAATTGTGCAATGAATTATATATATCAATTTGAAAGAATAATATGTTATTCGATAAAAAGTTAAATAATATGTTATATTCGATAAAAGTTAAATAATATGTTTATATTGCTAAAAGTTAATTGATTAATGCTGACTAAAATTTGCATTTTGCTTTTTGAACTAAAGTCGGCCCATACGGAATTTTTTTTTACCCTTTGCCTGGACTTAAATTCCGCTCTGCTCTGGAAACTAGTTGCTACGACCGCTGTTGAGCAACGGGTAGCATGATATAAATAAAGCATATGATGAGTGACAGATATTGATTATAATTAGATAAATGTCTAATTAAATTTTCAATAATTTTATAGTTCATTTTTCACTTTGGCAGTTCTGTTGACAACTTTATTAAGATTATTACAACATTAAATTATACAAATTTTTACTTAATAACTTACTTAGCCACTCCTAGTTCGGGGACAGAACTCATAAGCACCCAGATACAACCTGCTGCACCAGTTCTGCCATTTGATAAACTAACTTAGGATCTTATTAAGGGAATTGTTTTTTATACCCCCAATTTATTATTCGTACCCCCCTGCAGATTTGACTTTTTTTTAAAACTTTGAGCGAGGATATCTCAGTAACTACAAAGCCAAATTCGATAAAATTTTTTTATTATATTCTATAGATTAATAGGATTCAAATAAAAAAAAAAGTTCATCGAGTTCAGCCTAGAGTTGCTGAGATATCTTCACTCAAAGTTTGAAAAAAGTCAAAACGTCTATCAAAACAAACTATGCCAAATTTTCTTTAAACTTTGAGTGAAGATATCTCAGCAACTACTAAGTCATATACAATGAACTTTTTTTTGTTTGAATTCTATGAATTTATAGAATTCGAATAAAAAAAAAGTTTATTGAATTTGGCTCAGTTGGTGCTGAGATATCTTTACTCAAAGTTTTAAAAAATTTCAAAATGTCTATTAATAGAAGATGCGTCAAAATTTTTTATAAACTTTGAGTAAAGTATCTCAGCAACCACCGAGCCAAATTCAGTGAACTTTTTTTTATTAAATTCTATGATTTCATAAAATTCAAATAAAGAAAAAAAATCATCGAATTTGGTTTGGTGGTTGCTGAGATATTTTCACTCAAAGTTTTGAAAAAATTTTGGCGTAGCTTCTGTTTTGATAGACATTTTGAATTTTTTTGATAAACTTTTTTTTATTTGAATTCTATTGATTCATAGAATTTAAACAAAAAAAGTTCATCGAATTTGACTTAGTAGTTGCTGAGATATCTTCACTCAAAGTTTAAAGAAAAGTTTGCATAGCTTTGTTTTGATAGACATTTGGATTTTTTCAAATTTTAAGTGAAGATATCTCAGAACTACTGGGCCAAATTTGATGAACTTTTTTTATTCGAATCCTATCAATCTATAGAATTTAAACAAAAAAATTTATCGAATTTGGCTTGGCAGTTATGGAGATATCTTTGCTTAAAGTTTTAAAAAAAAGCTAAATCTGCAGGGGGTACAAATAATAAATTTGGGGATATAAAAAATGGGTCCGTTTTATTAATTTTACGTATTAACTTTGTTAATTTGTTACCTTTGCAAGCTTTGTTATCTTTTATCAATTTATCACTGTCCTTTTAACATTTTTTTAGCAAAAAACAAAAATCTAATTTTGTTTTTATCAATGATAAAATTTTAGATTTTGTTTAATAACGCTAGTATATTTGCAACAATTTTTTTATATTTTAATACATGTTTAAAAGCACAATTTTTTATTTTTTTATAAAATTAAAAAAAATTATACAGATTGATTGAGAGTAAAAAAGCTGGAAGTGTTTATTTCTAAGCTACATTATGAAATAATAAATTTCTTAAATTCAGGATCCTGTTCCAAGATTTTCAATTTTTCAGTTTGTAAACTAAAATAAACTTCTATTCCATCCTCTGTCTCGGTATTCTGTATTATATACAACCCATCTTCTATAAATTCTCGTCTCTGTTTTATTGGAGTTCCATCGCCAAAATCTATTAAATTAAACTTTTGAAATTTTAGCACACTAGTTATTCCAAAATCTTCGCCATTGTGCGCAATACTTGCAGTAATCAATGATTTATCTGGTTGTTGTTCAATCCAATCAATTATGGATTTAATACGACTATCATTCATATCTGCAACGGCCTTTCGAACTTGAAGTGCTACTGAAGATGGTAAACCGTTAATCAATTGAGAGACAAGCATTTTTGGACATGCTTGGCTAAAAATAAAATAAAATTAAATAATATTAAAGTTATTTTTAAGTGTAAAAATAATAATAATAATAAACGAATCAAATCTATTTACAAAACAACATTTCCACAATAACTTTCTGGAATAGGTGGATTTAATCTATCACGTCCATTAAGAGCAATGCTACAAAATACTTCAGTGTTTAAATCAAGATTTCGAGCTCTAGTGAGTGTTCTCCAAAAGTGGGCTACAAGTGCATCATTTGTTGAAATCCAACTCCCATTAGGAATACCAGCAGAATAATAATCACGTAACCTCTTAAGATCATCTTGACTAAAGCGGAAAATTTTGGTAGTTAAGGACAATTTTATAGGTAACTTTCGTGAGTTTGAAAAAATATTTTCAGTCGGTTTCATTACAAAATATTCGTAAGGAACATATGTTGAAGGGTTACCACTTGCTTTTAGCAAACTTCGATCATGGATAGGTGGGTCAATCTGTTCTAA